GAATGTACAAATCATTGTCGTATGCTGTGCTAGATCAAACCAAACAGATCACACCGTTATTTAATACAATGTATAATCCCTGTTGTAATTCTCTTGCCATTTTCACCCAAAGCTGCCATATGTTCTTTCCTAGAGGAATGCAATCAGCTATTCAAATTCTGTGAAATCTTCTAAAGCAGGGGTATCAAACTGCCGGCCCGTGGGCCGGATGCGTCATGCCTAAACCGTGCCCCACCCTAGCTCCGGCAATGGGGGAAAAGTTGCAATACGTTGCGACACATCACGTGACGTTGCGAGTTTGACACCCCTGCTCTAAAGTTATTCAAAGGACAAGGCTAAAACAAGGCAGCAGTTTGTCTCATCCAATTCTTGCTTCAAAGATGGAATATTGCTTTAGCAACCACTTACCGTATTTTAAGTCATCCGCTTACAGTATTTAACTCAATTCTCATTCTTCCCTAAATGCAGCGTAAGTACAGAAAGCCTACTGTCCCTTAATCACATAATAGGATTATTCTGTTTAGCTAAAAAGAGCTTGTTTCTACCTACTTCCAATAGCAAACAGAGCACCCTTCTAAATTTCGTTATATAGTCCTGCTCAGTATTCAACTCAGACCTACTGCAGGGATAGGTTGCAAGAATTGTGACGCTTACTATTCTAAAAAACTAGACATTTTTAAAAGCTACAGGCAGGATAAAAAGCTGAAGTCTTTCCTTCTTCTCCAGGCAGATCTCAGGTTTTTGTGCACAAGAGGAAGATTATACTCTCTGACATACTGTCACTCTACAACAATAACATGTCTGTTGCCAAACACTGACTCCAGCACCAGATACCGGATTTGCCTGTAAAATTTCTTTCTAGTTCTTTGCTAATAATAAATATTATATAGTGAAAGTTTCCTCTTTGATTTGTAATATTTGTTGAAAATTCCTAGTCTGTGCTGTTGGACAAGATTATAATATGGTGTCAAATGAATAAGTTTAAGACAGAGATGGCGAACCTTTTAGAGACCGAGTGCCCAAACCGCAACCCAAAACCCACTTATTTATCGCAAAGTGCCTGGGCTGCATCAGCATTGTGGTGCCCTCGGGGGTTGGGGTTGGGGCGTGGCCCATTGGGTAGGCGTGGCTGCGGCGGTCATGGCAGACTGAGTGGGCGTGGCCATGGTGGGTGTGGCCACCTTGATGTTGCTCATGGGGGGGACACCTGTGGGGGCTGGGCAGGATTGGGGGAGATCCAGGGGGTCTCTGGTGGGTGGGGCAGTGGGCAGGAAGCTCGTCCTGCGGGGTGAGGCAGGGGGTAGGGTGGGGGTGCCATTGCTGTGGGGCAAGGTGAGGCAAAGGCGGCTGCTGCCTGACACCCTCAGCCCCCGCACACAGAGGCCAGCAAGCACATGGGGGCGTGTTCTACCACCTCTACTCGAGCTTGCTAGCCAGCTGCTTCCCCTCCTTTGTGCTGGGTGGGGCTGCTGCTCCGGGCACCAGCAATGGCGTAATGGACCTGCGCGAGCTAGCAGCGGCAGCGGCAGGTGTGCCCACAGAGAGGGCTCTGAGTGCCACCTCTGACATGTGTGCCATAGGTTCGCCATCACTGGTTTAGGAGAAAAGGGAACCAATTCAAGCATGTAATGTAATTTATATAATAAACTGTCTATGAGGCCTGGCTTTTGGCACACTTTATATACATATATACATAGGAATATATGCCCTGCATGCATTTCTTTCTCTTGTATATTTTTTCTTATTCTTCCTTTTTGATAACTGTGTGGTTTATTATTTTTATTTTGTATTCAATTAAAAACATGTTTAAAAAGTCATATAAATAAAACTTGTGCTGTTATTCTGTCTATGTAGAAATTAATCACCTGCCATCTCTACTGAAAACTCAGCCCTTCCTGGGTTTGTGTATGATGAAATTTGCTGGATGTTTTGCCTTTTTGTTGGTGATACATAGGGTTAAAAAAAAACCCTTTTCTTTTCTTTATGAACTGGATTTGCAAAGCTTGGCAATAACAAAAGGCAATTCCTTTATAAACAAAATTAGTTTGAGGTCCTACAAAGGAGATTAATAGAGCTTCAGCTGAGCCACTGTTAGAAATTAGCCACCTGAGTTAAAATTACATCTCTACAGAATGACTTTCCAAAATATATTTCCTTTTAAATGGGTTTTATAAACAAAACAAATGCTAATACAGTTTGCTAAGCCTAGCACAGCCTTTCCCAATCTGGTGCCTTCAAAATGTGTTGGTTGGGAATAACAGATAGTATACTAACATTCCGGCAAATGTGAACCCTGATTCAAAGGCTTTGCGCCATTCTATCATTGTTCAGAAAATGTCCTATCTTGGCCTTTGTGCAAGCATCTTACCTGCTGGAGTGGTGGGAAGATCTGGGCCAGCAGCAGGTGGTTCCATAGGCCCAGGATAGGGAGGAGGTGGAAGCTGCATGTATCCCATAGCACCATCCACTGGTGGACCAGGATACAATTCTAGGACAATGGAAAAAGACAGAGTAAAGCACTGCAAAAACAATTAGCTGAGTCAAACCCCAGAATCATTGAAATGCTTGTCCTCAAACTGACCTTTTTAGGTATTTTAAAGAGCCCAATTTATTTTTAAAAAGAGGAATTCAGAAACTGATATGTTATAGCATAATATAGCTCATGTTGCAATCAGAGCTATTTCAGATTTATTTCTGACCATGATAACCGCTTCCAGCTTATCCAGATTGGCTCCCTTGTGATTACATGGCTCTGAAAACTTTAATCAACCTATAAAAGGTACGGAGAAGTATTGGGATGAGAGCGAACCATATATTCCTCAGTAGAAACTTTGTAATAACTAAAAGCAAGTTCTTATATTACACAAAACAAGCCTTGCTCACACTTAACAAGGGAGTTGCCCATTTGGGTGACAATTGAAAATAGGATGAAATCAGGATGAAAAAGTGAACCTTACTGGGTTTCCCTACCGTATTTCTAAATGAAACATGAATTAAAAGTTGCCTTCGTTTACTTTCAAAACTCACCAGGTGGTGGTGGTGGATAAGGGTATCCTGAAGGAGGAGGAGGATACATCCCATTGGTAGCAAGTGGTGGGAAGGTATAGCCCCCATTTGGCATGTATGAGTAACCATAGGCTCCATTGGGAACTTCTCCTCTTGAAGCTAGAAAACAAAGATGAGTGAGTTAATTCAATCAGACTGACAGGAAGCATTTCAGGAATACAACAGACAGAACCCACTTCCACAAGACAATGGCACACATGAAGCTCACTGAGATTACAATGCCAATTAAATCAACAATTAGCAATATCAGTAATTACAGGTCTTGAGTCTCCTCAAGCACTCCTGTACAGATAGTCCTGAACTTACAACCATTCGTTTAGAGGTAATTTGAAGTCACAATGGCACTCACAAAAGTGACTTACAACCAATCCTTACACTTATGACTGTCACAGCATCCTGTGGGTGCATTGCAACTGCCATGTATTTAGGACAGTTGCAGCGTCCTGAGGTGATGTAATCACCGTTTCCAACCTTCCCAGCTAGCTTCTGACAAGCAAAGTCAAACGGGGAACACTGGATTCACTTAATGACTGCATGATTCACTTAGCAACTACAGTGATTTGCATATCAATCATGGCAAAAGAAGGGCATGCAACTGCCTTGTTTAGCAATCTAAATTGTGGTCTCAATTGTAGTTGTTAAATCGAGGACTACCTATAGTTATGCTATATTCTTTAGTTCTATCACTTCCTTTTCCATGTTGACAACTGAATTTGTGAAGCCTGGTACAGCAACAAAAAATGAAGCTGACAGCAGCGTAACACAGTTCTGGCCTTCCGTTTAAAGGCTCTAACAGATAAAAACAGAGTAGAAATGCAGAAACACAGAGCAAGCAGAACCGCCTAAGTCCAACTAGTTAGTGGAGGAAAACAGGACACCTGAGAAATGAAACTTTTCTCTGTCTCATGAAAATCAATTTGGTACTAGAAAGAGTTCAGAGGCAGCAGGAGAGGCCAGGGGAAAGGAGGCGGTTCACTGGAAAAGTGAGTGAAAAGGAAGGCTATAATTCTTCCCTTAGCACAGGGGTGTCAAACTCGCTGTGTCACGTGACGTGTTGCGACGTATGGTGACTTCCGCATGACACATTCAATCCATGGGCCGGCAGTTTGACACCCCTGCCTTAGCAGAAAGGAGATCTGAAAACAGAACCCCCAACTGATAAGCCATAGGTTTATGGAATAACAGACACAGGTGGTCCTTGACTTCTGACCATAGCTGAGCCCAGAATTTTGGTCATAAGTTGTTGCAGTTGTTAAGTGGGTCATCACGTGACCTGACTCAATTTTACAACCATTTTTATGATGGTCATTATAAAACCATGATATCACTACAGTTGATAAGCAAACTATGTGGTCATTAAATGAACCCAATGGCTGGGTTTTTTTGTTGAAAAACAGAAAAATAAAACACTGCAACTTCACAGTCACAGGGACACAGGATGCTGCAACTAATCGTAAATGTGAGCCGGTTGCCAAGCACACAAAATGAAATTTACGTGATGGAAGTGGAAAGGGGGAGGGGGTACCACAGTCATAACTTTGAAGATGGGTAAGTAGCTTTTTTAAAGGCCATCACAACTTCAAATAGTCACTGAATGAGAATTGCCTCTATTAAGTGAGGACCACCTGCATTAACAGCACACATAAGACTTCTGTTGTAAGTGCTAAGCCAAGAGTGAATGTATCTACTGGGGCTCTCGTGATAAAAAGAGCAATTTTGAGATAGGAATACCAAAATAAGCAGTTATTTTGTAATGAGTTTTATTTTAATTCACTCAACTATTTTAAGTAATCCAGGTACGTATGCTAATCTGAAACACATTTTCAACTCTTCATCAAGGCACACCCGGATTTCTCTCCCACCAGTCCTTAGCAGTTCTACTTCTGTTATAAATACCTTGAGATGCTACTTGCAACATACGCTGTCCAAACTCAATGGCACCTCCAGCTGAGAATGTCATTTTGAACGTTGCGGATCCTTCCCAACCACCTAGTAAAATAAGATAAGATAGGTGAAAAAAGCAAAATAAGTTTGTCTACTACCAGGTTTATCTTACAAGGCTCCTGAAATCCTTATAAGGCTCCTCCTCTATCATCTTTCCGTTAAGTTTCAGCCTAAGCCTTTTAGAGTAAAAAGCAACTTTAGAAAATGAGGGTCATGTTCTCTTTTTCTCCTCCTTCTTGTACCCCCGTTTTGTTTTAGACAATATATAGCTCAAGGTGGTGAATCGACCTAATATTCCTGTATTTTCTTCATAACAACAATCCAGTGAGGTGAGTTAGTCTGCGAGAAAGTGAACCAGCCCAAAATCACCCAACTGGCTTTCATGCCTAAGGTGGGACTAGAACAGAGAATTTTCCTGCTTTCTAGGCCAGCATTTAATCACTAAACCAACATGCTCTCTACGTGTTGCTACTTTTAAGAGCAGATACACACTTTCAAATTGTGGAGCCAGAAATATATTTTTTTTATTTAGATAATAAAATCTGAGACCTAGCTGATTCTAATCATTTGTGAATATAATTGTTCCTATCTCTATAAAAAAAAATATAAAAAATATTTAATGGCAGGGAGAATTGAGTGAAATCTTTTTTCTATAATGGTTGAGGCAAAGTGCAAAAGTGTAATTGAGTACTATATATATACAAAGTGGCGTGACACTAAGGTTACAGGGAGATGGGTTTTAAACAACAAAAAAGATCTGTGCCTCCAAGAGTCATCAAAGGCCAGGAAAGAAAAACAACAATTTGCAAACAATAACATTACACAGATTAAATTTGTTCTGAGTGAGCCAGGGCAAATTTGATTTGTTAAAACATCTTCACAACTACTCTTCAGATAGCCATAAATCAATCTAGAATGGCAACCATATGAAGTGAAATTAAATAAGAAATATGATTATATCTGGGCTAAAAAATATATGGATTATATAGGAACAATTTAGAGCTACAGGACTGTAAACAGACCACTGAACATATCATCAACGTAGCTGTAGTCCTTTAAATTTGGGAACTTCCAGAAAAGGGGGCTGTGTTTCAGCCTTTGATCCCTAGGCCTCATCCATCATGTAAAAATCATGGTAAAAGTATGTTTCTGAATTATATAGTTGACTTCAACCCCTATGTATGGAAAACAATGTGATACTCATGGAGGTCCATGTGCACATACCCTGGCTATCCACATATCCAATCATCCAATGTGCATTTCAGTTAAAAGAAACTAAATGGGAAGTGTGCATACCAAAAAGCAAAACTTCAGTCTCTGCTGTTATTGTTATTAACAACATCTTTGTATTCCATATATAAAGGGGTAGTAACTGAGGCTAAGTGCTGGGTTTGGAAGTCTGCCTACCTGCCCATAAAAAGGTACAAGTGTATTGGGGGGATAAGAAATATCCTGAGGGTCAAGATACAATGAATTATTGTGCCTCCTGGTAAATAGGTGTATATGAGTAGTCATAACCACACATAGACAGCCAGTTTTCAGTAGCCATATCACCTCTATTGTAGCCATTTTCTAACAGTATACACATATAGTATGTTTTCAAAACTCTAAATGTGCTCACCAGCCTCAAATCATTGCCCAAACACCACCCTAAAAGTAAAGTACTGAAAAGATATAATCAATATAATCAGACACTTTAAAAGATCCTTTATCTCCCAGCCAGATTGGCAGATTGGATATTTGAAGCAGATACTGAGATACGGATACTGAGCATCACTCAGAAGTAAGGCTCTCGGCTCTTTTAATACAATATAAAATGGCAGAAATTGACATTGTCATATTCCATTCTTCTGCTAAGACATACTTCATAGAGGGAAAAAACTGCTTAAGAGCCTTCAAGTCAATTAAATATGAAACTTGCAATCAAACAGAACTGCAAAGCCATCAAAAAGCAACCAAGATAAGAATCCTGCTATAGATTAATTGACCTCTGTGGGATCTCAGAATGCTGCTTGTCAAAAGCCATTTTACCTAAACAGATGAAGTAGTGTCTGATTTAGCTTTACTATAAGAAATAAAAAAGTCGAGATCCATTTTTGTGACATCTTGCTTTACCATACTTAATGAAAATAGACAGTGAGGTGGTTGATGTTTTCATTAGAGTTTTTATTAAACTCTTTAAAAAGTTTCCATACTCTGTATTATGATTTTTTTTCCTAATACTTCTAGTTGAGCTCTATAGTCTACAAAGAAGTTTGGGGGTGAGGGGGGGAACAGATCATGGAAGGGAAATCCATTCTCGATTTAAGACAGGCATGTCAAACTGCTGGCCTGTGGGCCAGATGCATCACGCCGAAACCGTGCCCACCCCATTGCTGGCAATGGGGAAAAAGTTCCGATACGTCGCGCGACATCACGTGATGTCGCGAGTTTGACATACCTGATTTAAGATAAAAATGTTAAAAAATTCAAAATTAAAATATAATAAAATTTGAAATATAAAATAAGAATGCATATTTTATACTTTGTGTAAGCAAGGAGCACTGGAGTTTCCCAAAATTATTATTATTATTAGCAGGATGAGACCAGAGTCAGAGAATTGAATGGGAACAATACTGCTGATCTTGGAGGTATCCCTCCCATCAGTTCAGGTACTATGGAAGACCATTCTCTTCTTTAGCATAGAACAGGGGTTCCCAACCAGGGGTGCTCGCATCCCCTGGGGGTGCGAGACGATATTCCAGGGGGTGCAAAAACTTGAGTTTTCAAAATTATAGTGTATATGCATAATTTGTTGCCGTTATTTCAAACTTTTGTAAAGGGGTGTGAGAATGTATCAGAAGCGTTCTAGGGGTGCGAGGTGCAGAAAAGGTTGGGAGCCGCTGGCATAGAAGATTTGATTTAATCATGACTGTTGAGACAAACATGCTTATTTGGTCTTTCATTATAAGTATCAAGACAAATATTCAGAATAATAGAGTTGGAAGGGATGTCTTCCAGCCAAACCCCTTGCCCAAACAGAAGACCCTATAGCATTCCAGACAAATCACTCTCCAACCTCTTCTTAAAATCCTCTAATGATGGAGCACCCAGAACTTCGGAAGGCAAGCTGCTTCACTGATTAATTGTTCTCACTGTCAGGAAATTTCTCCTTAGTTCTAGGTTGCTTCTCTCTTTGATAACTTTCCATCCATTACTTCCTGTCTTGCTCTCAGGTGCTTTGGAAATAGATTGTCCCCCTCTTCTTTGTAGCAGCCTCTCAAATTTTGGAAGCCTGCTATCATACTACCTCTAGTCCCTTTCTTTGTTAGACTAGATGTACCCAGTTCCTGCAACCGTTCATATGTTTTAGCCTACAGACCCCTAATCATAGTTGTTCTTCTCTGCATTCTTTCTAGACTCTCCACACCTTTTTGTATCATGATGACCAGAACTGGATGCATTATTCCAAGTGTGATCTTACCAAGGCAATATATAGTGATACTAACACTTCACATGACCTTGATACTATCCCTCTGTTGATGCAGCCTAGGACTCTACTGGCTTTTTTGGTAGCTGCAGCACACTGCTGGCTCATATTTAAGTGAGTGTCCACTAGGACTCCGAGGTCTCTCTCACAATTACTACTGTTGAGCCAGGGACAATCTATTCTATACCTGTGCATTTGATTTTTGTTGCCTAAGTATAAAACCTTAATTTTCTCACTAGTTATCTGCATTTTTTTGGATAGGGCACAGGGTTCAAATCAGGATCTTTCTAGCTCTTGAGCCTATCTTCTAAAGTATTGGCTATTCCTCCTAGCTTGATGTTGCCTGCAAATGTGATGCGTTCCTCTTCTATATCCTCATCTAAATAGTTTATGAAGATGTTGAAGAATACTGGGTCTAAGACAGAAACTTGGGGTACCCCACTACACACATCCATGTAGTTCCATTGAGAATATGAATCCATCTGGTGGTGATGCTGTCTATCCCACATTTTTCTATCTTACCAAGAAGTAAGTTATGCTCTACTTTGTCAAATACCTTACTGAAGTCCAAGTATACTATGTCCACAGCATGTTCACCCTCCATGTTCTCTATGTTCACCCTCTGAATATATCACCCACATGTTATTACAATGCATAATGATTCTAAACATTTCACTAGCATAAAGTAATTGAAGTACTCACAACTCATTTGTTATTTTTTTGTAAGTAAATTAAGATGAATTCAGAGTTCATTGCAAAGATGACGGAGCAGAATAATCCCAATAATTTGTGGATTGATTTTTGTAAGAACAGCATAAATCAAACGCCAAAAACATAGGGGTACTTACCTCCTGCCTCTGCTTTTACGACACCTTTGATGTAATTTGCTCCAAACACGGGTTGCTTAATTTCACATTCTTTCATTAAATAAAAGGGCATCATGAAAGACTGCATTGCATCTTTTCCCTTAGATACAAAAATAACCTGCAGGCAAAATGAGTACAGATTTTTAATGCTTAGAATCAGAAAAACAAAACACTAGATTTCATTGCTACACACTAACTAAATAATCTCAAATAATGTAACTAATGTTTCAATTAATGCTTCCAAAACCTTAGGAAAATAGGAACCAACAATTTATTTGATTGATACTATGAAGCAGCAATATTAATCTATTTCTAGATAGCTTTTAAATTGTCAAGATGCTCAGTTGATGTACAGTATTCATCAAATAGCAATAGCAATAGCATTTAGGCTTATATACTGTCCCATAGTGCTTTATAGCAGGGGTCTCCAGCCCCCGGTCCATGGACTGGCACCGGGCTGCAGCATGCCAGAAATCGGGCTGTGCAAATAAGCAAAACCCCATCTGCAAGATGCAGGCAGTACATGAAACCACAACCCCTCCGCTCCACAGAAAAACCTCTCTCCACGGAACCGGTCCCTGGTGCTCAAAAGGTTGGGGACCTCTGCTTTATAGCACTCTCTGGGCAGTTTACAATGTTGAAGCATTATTTGCATATTGCTCCCTACAATCTGGGTCCTCATTTTACCAACCTGGGAAGGATGGAAGGTTGAGTCAACCTTGAGCCCCATCAGGGTGAACTTCTGGCTGTGAGCAGAGTTTGCCTGCAATATTGTGCTTAACCACTATGCCACCAGGGCTCTTATCCAAAGTGTTTGAAATACCCACTGCCCATGTACTTTCAAGTTACTGAAGCAATTCAGCTATTCCATCATCTCTTTTTACTAGCTTCAGTTTGTTCCACCAACATAATTCTAGTACTGCTCCATACTTCAACTGAAAATTCTCAAACTAGCCACTGGAAATGAAAACTCAACTCATCATAAAGCTTCAAGGGATAAGGGCACTGCAAAATCATGCCATCTGTTACAAGCCCAAATCTTTTTTGTAAGCCCTCAGCCATTGCTTCATGTTGCCTAGAAGATCTGAACTTCAAATTATGGGGCAGAAAAGGAGAAGAAAGGACAAGGCCAGCCTTACAGTTACCACCTTTGCCGCTCCTATTTTACAGTTCAACTCATTTTATGCTCCTTTTCATTTGGCTTTTGGGCTTACCAAGCATAAAAATGCTAATTCCAAATGTCAGTCACATTAATACAAAGATTAAATGCAATAACCCAGTTTTTAACAGAAGGGACTACATTGATATGTATTCTCCCACATCAATATAGTTAAACCAGAATACAGAAGGTATAGATAGAAAGAGAGAACTATCAGGAGTTTTAGGATCTTTTTCTCTTTCCAAGCGTGCATGTAAACAAATACACATTGCTGACTTACTCGATATGGAGTCATGAAGACACTGCCTTTCTTGGTCCCTTTAAATGCCTCTGGCATATGTTCCATATCATGGAATGTCATTTCAATGTGCTCGTAATTCATCAAGATGCTATATTCAAAGAAAATAGACAACAGATACTAAGATTTACTTCCTAGAAATTCTTTTACATCTAAGACAGATAATATAAGCTTTAACACCACTGGCACAATAGTTCAACAAATGCAACCTGTAAATTAATAAATACAAACAGGCACACAATGATTATCAGTGAGGTTGTCAGCAACCCGTTTTGTTGAAAAACATGAACATGAAAACCATCACCAAAAAAATGAGCCAACTTTACTCAGCATGAGTGTTGCCAAAGGCAGTATTCTTAACACAGCTAAAGCTACTATATATGAAATGGCATAATTCAGTAAAATGACTACTTTATTTATTCCACCCAGTTTTAATACTGTAGCAGCAATATCAAACTATTCCATCTGCCACTTGGATAGGACTGTTATTTCAATGCATGTATTTTGTGCATCCCGAACTGAGACAAGTTGTCAGTTCTCCTAGTCTTCTACTTTTCCACAGGATTGACAGAAAAAAGTTCCTATCAGCCTTTCTCAGTATATGTTCCTAAGCTCTGCGGAAATAAAACTGGTACTCTCTTCGTGTACCATCACTCTATAATCTTTGCTTAATGGTGTTAAAATCAGACCTCAGCCTGAGGATTTATTATCTTTTAATGCTGAAGTCATATTTTTATTTTTATATGCTCTCTTTCACTGCTTCCAGGGAAGAAACAAATATAGAAAACTTTGTAATGTGAGGGATTTCAATATACTCTGCCACTTCTAAATGCAACTGCTTTTTTGACAAAGGAAGAACAAGAAATGGCAAAAGCCTAGTCAGATGAGAAGAGTTGGCATGGTGGTAGATTATATTATTTCATAATATGACATCAAGAAGCCTTTTGATAGTTTGTACTGGACAAAATTATTAGAAGACACTTATGGCATAAGTTCTTTCCTATTGTGGAAATATATATGATGCTCTTTTTGAGGATATTCTTTCCAACATTAACATTCTCAATATATAAACTGCAAATAACAAAAGTAGTACTGGGATTTAATTTTTAATCTGAGGAGATAAAAACCCAGTATCAATTTAAGTCCTTGGGAAAATTCAACAAATGCCATATGGAATGTAAAAAGCCACTGAAGCATGTAGAAGTAGAGAAATTATCTTATTTTGTGAAGAAAAGGGAATGGAAGCCAAGTGTCACAGTTTCTCAGTTGATGATGCAACCTTATGAAATACCCTCCCCTTTGATTTAAAGCTTCTTTCATCTATTCTGACCTTTAGGAAGCTACCAAAATTGAAACTTTGCCAAAATTTCCATCTTTAGTTATATTATTTTGAGTTATTAATTGTTGCTATTAATTTATTTGATTTTGTTTGGATTTGTTGCATTTATTTATCATAATTTATACTTTTGTTTGTATATTGGTTGTTTAAATTTATTTGCATAAATATGGAATTTTTCTGTTATGGATGTATTTGTTGATTGTTTTATAAAATTCGACGAGTCTGTGCTGATTCAACAATATATAAGTAGAATAAATAAAGTTATAAATATATAAGAAGTAGCTATGAAAGGCTGGAATAAAGGAGAAATCACTAAGTAATTTGGATTATTTACCTGTGGCAACTTTCCAAATCTGAAATATGGAATGTTATATATTCTGTACAGGTAGTCCTTGACTTAGCAACACGATTGAGCCCAAGATTTATGATGCTAAGTGAGAAATTTATTAAGTGAGTTTTTACAATTTTCTTGCCATGCTTGTTAAGTAAATCACTGCAGTTGTTAAATTAGTAATTCTGTTGTTAAGTGAAACTGGCTTCTCCATTGACCTTGTTGGTCAGAAGATAACAAAAGTTGATCACCTGACCCCAGGACACTGCAAGAGTCATAAATATGAACCAGTTAAGCATCCAAATGTAAATCACATGACCATGGCGATGCTGCAATGGTCATAAGTGTGAAAAATGGTCATAAGTCACTTTTTTCAGGGCCGGTGTAACTTTAAATGATCACTAAATGAACTGATGTAAGTCGAGGACTACCTGTAATTCCTGTTCCCCTTAATGTTACATTTACAAATGGAGTATTGCCACCTACATCCACTGTCAATGTTCCAACTTTTATTCTCATTTGTTTTCTGAATTTTACTATTTATTCTCCCAACTCTGTCCTTGTTTGCCCCAACTGGTATTCTTTCCAACTTCTTTCTCCAAAGAGTGAGTGGAAACTGTGATTTTTAAGCTGATTCTTGAGCTGGCTTGCATCTATTGACTTGCCAACTGCTCAGATTTGAGCATACTGACAACAATGGAAAAAAGGTATCTATATTATTGATATTTATCACTAGCAATATCATCCTGCTATGTTAAAGGGAATAAGGAAGAAATCTTATTTATTTCAAAGTATCTTCATGGGAAATGTGGCAATAAATTAAAGTCCTTGGAAGCAAAAAAGAAACGCTCTTTACCAAATTTTACAAGCTGGGGATATTTAGGAAAATATGTTACGCTCAGGACAAGTTCTATTACACACAATTCTTAAGTCGTTTTTCCACTGTTAGGTAGCTAATTTTGTTTTCATCTTATTATGCCCTCAGCCAGGAAAATGACCATATTGCAGCATAACAAAAAGATGATAGTACGCTAAAGACTATTTATGATAGCAAGGATCAAACGAGACATAGAAAAAGCAAGAAGAGAAGAGATCGGGACGGACGGCGACGAGGAACTTTCTCTCTCCGCCCCTGGAGGCGGGGCACCTGCGAAAGGGCGGGGCCCCGGGAATCAGGAGCCGGGGAGCAGAGGGGGAAGAGCCGCTGACGCAGTATGCTCAGACCGGACCCCCACGAGCCGCAAATGCCGCCCCCAGTACCTTTCGCTGTTATTGATAATGACGCCGCCTCCCTCCGAATGGTTCCTGTTCAGCGCCATGGCCGATGAGCAACTGCTGACTTTTTACCTAGCACCCGCTGGACTGAGATCCTCTAGCCTAGCCGTTAATAAAGCGGCTCTACGCAAGTTCTGCGAGCGACTTCCGGCTTAGAGGAGCTCTAGGCAACGAACCAAACCGGAAGAGGAATAAAGCAACGGGGGCGATGCCAAGGCATGATGGGAAATGTAGTTCATTGGTTGAAAGGTTGCTTTTGACCACTAAAATTTGCGGAAAAGTGGGAGGGGTGAATTTTCTAATCACGAGTTCCTGTCTGTGTGTGTGTATATGTTTTATATATATATATGACATTGGATAAATGCACTGGATTCTATTCATAATAGTTGATGCTTTAGTAAACGCAAAAGTGTAATGTCGGAATAAAGTTTAAAGTTACATAATGCTAGTCTCTTAAAGTTTTGCTAGTTAGATACAATAATTTCAGATTCTGATAGTTCTAACTTCACATACTACTTATTTCTCTTCATTAAACCTATCCCTGGTGCATTTTGGGTCACTCTTGCCTATTTTGCTGAGTGTGTCCTTCTTGGACTTCTGCAGGAAAGTGTTAATGGCAACTCTCATAAGAAGTTGCAAAAATAAAAGTCAAGAACGTAGGACATGATGGAAGTTGCCTGAAGGCAACTTGCTTCTAGACACGTTTATAAAGATAGGTCGCCTTGCAACTCCTGTTCCATCTGGAGAATATTGAGTGAGTACTAAACCTATTTCTGTTACACAGGCACAATTGAAGGTTAAATGGCTTGCAATCTGATTCTCAGAGACTGCTGATTATGCTAGGACAACATCTAGCTCTAGCCAGCAAGAGCTGCAAGAGAAATTTTCTGATGTCCTTTTGTCAGAGACTCATTCAACAGTATTTGACATATAGAAGAGGGTTTATTCTTGTGTTGCTCCTAGGCAGTAAAATCCCTTCTTTCTTCCATTATAAAGGCAGCTCAGATCATTTTAAGGCCCCTGGACCACATCCGCCCCTTTGGCTACCCCTGTCCAGCCTGCATGAAGTCAGTCAAAAATTAGAGATCAAATGTAAGTAAGTGCCACCATGCATACAACTGCATTTTATTTTGAAGGTGACTTTTTTAACGTGTGTGTGTGCATGCATACCCACACATCTTCAGAGCCCTATTAGTTCAGCCCTCCACAACAGTCCGTTTCTTACAATATCTCTTGGGAAAATTAATTGCCTACCTAATCTCTAACTAAGCTCTTCTAATTAATGCTTTTTTAAAGTTTTAATGTATACCTTTTACTTTTTGTTTTGTATTTTTTTTAATTGCCAGATGCTCTCAGGGCTCAAGTAAAAATGTGTAGTTTATTTCAGTTTGGCTCATTCTATTTCATTTCAGAACCTATTCTGTGGTTTATATAATACTGTGTAGTTTGTCACTCATACATATTTGCTTAGTCACATGAATAATGATTTTCACTTTAATTCTTATACATATTTGTGCTCTTCCTTAAAGGGGCCGTCCATCGATAATATAAACAATAATTTGGCATTGATGCCACATCCTCCTTTTTATACAACCAAGTTGACTTTCTTTTGATTTGTCTGTAAATGAGCAGGCAAGAGGCAAAAAGTCTGTTATCTTTCTGACACTTGACAGAAAGAATGTGGAGGCAGATAATTTTCCCATTCACAGGAAGTTTTGTCTTGTTGCCTGAACTAAGATCTCTTAGGCAACCTTATCATGAAACCCTGCCTCCATCCTTTTTTAGTTTTATAATCTATATAAAAATCCCTATTAGTCCTCTTGGGTTCCTATTATTCTTAGTGGGGAAGCTCACAGTGAAAACTAATTTGTGGTACCTTAAAGGCTTAACAATGATTATTGTATAAGCCTTCTAGTCTATTTTGAATTTCATTCAGTAATTCAAGGGAAGATTTACATACATAAAATCTATTTTATGTACATTTTGTGTATAAAATACAATAAAACCTCAATATTAAATATATTATTAAAATATATTTTAATATATATTAAAATACGTTTGCACTTTTTGCACTTTCCAAACTATTTCCAAATTATCACTCTTTACTAAATGGTTATACAATAATGCAATTTAAATTTCCTAGATACATTAAAAATAGGTTTTCAGCTGAGAAGACAAGTGGGAAAATGATTGAATAGTGAAGGAAAAAACAAGCAAACTCAAGAACCAATAGTGATATCGGTGAACGTGATGATGTCCAATGTACCTGGTGATATTATATAAGTGTTAATCTAAATAAGCTTCTAATATCTGATACAAGCAGGTAACTCACAGCATCTGCATATTATACATGTTTTGTCATTTGCCATTACCCCACTCCTATGGATCTCTCCAATTCTTAAAAAAATGCAGCATTTATATAATGGGAACATAACTTCTCTGCTGTTCTCATTGTATATAAAACATACATGCTTATACGAGAAGTTCAAGAGCATATATAATCTATTTGGTTTTACTCTTGTTGTGATACCAACAAGAATAATCGAATAATGCCCTCCTCTCCCATTTGCTGCTACAACGCTTTGGGGAGGACATTAAGTTAACCATTAATTATTAGTGTGAATGGAAAGAGAACAACTCATGATTTTTTGAGTCTGACCTTTTAGCTATCTCAATGATTTTGAACCATCAGATGTCATTAACCAGATTTTTAGTTTTCTCAAACACCAGAATTAACTCGCTCACTGTTTCATTTCATCCTCCTTCAACATTACTGTTTTTTTTACAATAAAATGGATTAAATCTGAAGGCCACATAAAGGTAGCAGAAAGCACATGGAACTGTTAGACAAGCTTGACTTTCAGTCTTTGCCACATAGAACAGGCATATATACTGCCAAAGCAAAATAAATAAAAGTGGTTTTGTGAACTACTTTTAATTCCAGTTTATTGTGGTTTATGCCATGGATTTTTATAACAAAATTTCCTGGCTGGCCCAGCTGTGGATAAAAAACATTTTTCCAAAGCTTTCTTCCAAACTAAATGCTCTGAGAACCTTGTGTACAAATGAAACCTTATAACCAGATGTGGAAGAATAATTAGGCAAGACCAGAATGTAATAAATGAGAACCTGAAATGTTAATTTTTAACCAGATTCTGACAAGATTTATGCTGCATCGTTCTGAAAACTTAGAATACCTGCTGTATTTGATGGTGTCAGAATAATTATCATGTGATTATAAATGATTTCATGCCCTAAGGTTTTGTATTGTTAATCTTTAACCAGGAAATATAAAGGAATTTCCAGTCTGCAGCCTCTCACTGGTGTCTAGCTTCCATATTTCCTTTTCATAACATTTGAGGCATTTGTATTATCAAACTTGGCAGCATGATTGATAAAATATAATGATGTAGTTTCCTGAGAAGCTGAAGCAGATGACTCAAAAAAAACCCCTACATTTTAAATCACCTTAATGCATTAAAAAAATTCAATTCTCATCCTGAATGGTTTTGAAAAAAGAAAATCCTGTCGCAGTCATACATATGACACAACTCTGTGTTTTGGTAGTATTTGAATCCAATTGAACAAACTTCTTCTCCCAAAAAATTAAGTGTGGCGTTGTTCCCATCAACCAGTTGTTCAGTAAATCACAAAATATAGTACTTTCCCCCTTACAATAGCTGCATTATAAAAATGAAGGAACAAAGTGTCTACCTCCCCTAGCTGGGATCATCTGCATGTACAGTAGATCCTCTCCTCACAGAACTGTGCCGTCTATCCTGTTAGGGACAATGAGATCTTCTCAACCATCCTGAGTGCCCCTTTGTCAATCCTGCAGTGATGGCTCCATCTATTTTATTAACTAACCAGCTTTAAATATTTAAAAAGTCCTAATTTCAAAGTAGAGTAAATTACATCTTACAAATTCCAATGTCAATGATACAGTATATCTTTATTAATCCCTGTAACCTTCCTAACACTAATCAATTGGGTATAAATTTAACATACTAAATTCCAGCATGTAATTCAATACGTACATCATATATGTATCATTTTTCCTTTACAGAAAGATGAAAATTTTATTTGAAAAAAAGAACACAACACATGTCTGCTTCAGGACTATGTTGCAGTGCTTTCGGAAGGACACACAAACTATAAGGCCTCACATTTTTTTTTAATGAAAGGGAAGAATATTTCAGTAGGGACCAGCAGCAAATAAAATGCTCTTACTAAATTAATTTCATAATTAATCAAATCTACTATACTTCCAGCTTGAATACAGGATATAATGGTATTTATTTTGTAAACAAAACACATTTGGGAAACAAATAATGTACTGATTAATACTGCAAAACCCTCTTGTAACAATGTAATCCCGAGATCATGAAATTAATGAAGTGGGCTAGCATTAGATTAATGCTTTAAAGAACAAAATTATGCTGTGATTGCAAAACAAAATCTCTCTAAATTTTCTCCTTGTTCAGTCCTAATTTACATTATACTCACAGCCTATAATCTTCTAGAAACAAAGGAATCCAATGGATGGTTTATTCAAACTCAACTGTCAATCCCATTCTAAACAAAACAATCTTTAAAAAGCCACAAAACAATTTTTAAAAAGCCTAAGCCTAAGGAAAAACTTGGGTCTCCCCATAGGTTAACTTGAAAAACTTTTTTTTAACAATAGCAGCTAGAATTTCCTCACCACTCCTGTATTCTATCAGCATGACTAAATTATGATAAATTTATAAATGTTTACAGTGTCTTCTTAGTATATTTGAAAGAATGGATTTTATACACTTGTATCCTTGTTATACCTGAAAGCTCAATCCCCATTCTCCATCTTAACCAAGGGTCTTTCTTCCATTGTACTTCCATGGATCTGTATTCAAAATACAGTGACAAAATACAGCAGAATATATCATAGAAGTAGGAACCTGCAGTCCCTCAGAGGCTGATAAGCCTCAATTTCCATCAGATTCAACGAGCCAGTGACTCCAGAGAGCTATTGAATCTCCATTTTTATAATATTTCTGTGCTTGTAAGATGCTTGTAAAGAAAAGAAAACTTGCAACCCAGTGTTTAAACGTTCTGCTCTCTTGTGCAGGTACTCATCTCTTGAGTACCTCATGTTCAGATCTGCAACTTAGTTTTTACTTTGTACACTTTTTAACCCAATATAAACAGGCATATATAGCATTAAAGCACAGTGTACACAGTATGCAATGTGACCATGATGGAAATATGCAGGAACCGTTGCCTAAACAAAAGTGACAGGAACACTTTTTAAGTCCAAAACAAGGAGATAACATTTGGAAGCTGCTCAGGCAAATGGCACCCTAATTCACTGAACTACAAAGAGGAGGTGGTATATTACAATCAGACTTGTCTCAATTATTATAGCCGATCTCAGTAAAAATTTTATCCTTCCTTTGGAGTTCATTTCTTGAACTGGTCTAACTAGTGGGGCTGACACACAGTCACAGATGCTCCATTTAATTTCAAAGTTATATTTCTAATATTTAGACTAGAATTTAGATTTAAGCTAAGAGTCAACTAAAGCTCCCCACAGCCCCCTACTATTTTTTTTTGCTATTATAATCCAAAACAAAGATACATTTGTTCATATATCCCATTTGCTATGACGTTAACAGTTGACACCACTGTTTTCTCCAGTTGTTGTTTTTTTTCCAAATGCAGTGGAAGAGCAGTATTCACCTAGCGACACATTGTGAAGATGAGTTTCGATGGTATTGTTGATTATTTATCCGTGTATTTCTTGTGAAACAGCACAGTCTCTGGAGATACCATTGGTTCATATAGATGAAATGGAGATGCCTTTTGCTTTAGATCAAGCCCTTTGTAAATGATCCCTAATTATTTTCCAAAAAAAAAATATGTTTTGCTGGAAAGTGCTTCTTTAAACTCTGATACTTATCAAATAAGTAAAAAAGTGCAGTAACAAGTATGATTAATTCGCCAACACTAACTCAGAAAGATGACACAGTGCTCCAGCAGACATGTCACAAACTTCCTACTTGTCAAATTCTTTATTCTTGGTCATGCATAGACCAAATTATCGCCGCTTAAGTACTGAAACACAGTCTTTCTTCAAAGGCCCGAGCTGCATGTGAGCATCTACACTTTCGAGAAAAAAGGCTGGCTTGAGGTTGTGCGTGAACAGTGTTGGAAACTGGTGGTTGATCTTATTCTGGAAAGGGTCAAAATGTCCCTTTTTGAAACGAGCCACTTTGAACTGCTGGAGACAAGTCATCTTGGAATCTTTGACTCCATAGAACGTCAGCACCTTCTCTGAATACTCCAAGTACACCCCAATAGTATGAAAAAATGGCTGCTGTATAACACAGTCAAATCCGCCAAACCACGCAACATAATTCTGGCCATTCCATTGTAGACAGCATGACTTCTCATTCCTGCCTAGGCGGCCCCGGTCATACGACTCCTGGGAGTTGAAGTTTTCAGTGATTATTCCAATGCTCACCCAACCATCTATGAGCTCCACTTCCCAGTAATAGTTGCCACGGTTCATCAGATTCTCGCCCAGTACTTGCTCACAGTTGATGAACCTGGTTGAAGTCTCAGGATAAGCAATGGGATTCAGCACACGCTTAGCCCCCTTCGTCCCAAAGAGTTGGATGAACTTGTCAGCAGTATCACTGTCCAAGTCAATTATGAATGCAGCTGTACAAAAGCAAATATATAAAGCTTGAAAATGATAAACAAGGAAGACACATGGCATAAGCATGCCCCCCCAAAAGCAGTGTTCTCATACTAAACCATGGCTTGATTAATCTTGATTTACCAAAGGGATGTTTAGAAATCCATATTTAATATTTGAAGAGGATGTTGCATTTTCAGAGTGGCAGGAGCATTTATTTTAAAATGCTAGTTACTGTATTTAAAATATTCATATACTACTTCCTATTTAGACATCTCAAAGTGGTTTACACTAAATATCAGCAAATAAAACAAAACTAGGTAACAATTAAAAACATACCTTTAAACATTACATAAAAGCTATAGTGCCAAAAAGTTAAATAAAGATATATCTCTGCAGACACCGCTGCTTAGAGTTTTGTATGATGTTTCAATCCATCAGCCAACAAAAAAGGCATGAAACCAAGAACAATACAGAAAACAGAATGTCCTTACATTTGAGAAAATAATCTCGTGATTCCAAACTGGCGGGATTGATGCTCCTTTCTGAAACCTGTGGTTCAATTGTCACTGTGAAAAGAAGAAGTTGTCATCAATATATACTTGTCAACATTGCAGAATTGAAAATATCATCACTATAAAGAAGCCTTTTGTCCCAAAGCAGTAACTACTTCCTGGTTTTAGAGGAAGGCAAATTGATATCCAGCCAGATGGGGCCATATCTTATGCCTTACATTTTGTGATCTTCGCAGAACATATACAGGCTTAAAAATCGCCTGCTACATAAAACACTTCTAGGAATGAAGGCAAATATACGTGTCCCAGGATAACGTTGCAGGATGCAATCTGGGTCGGTGAAATTCACTTTCTGGTGAGAGAGAAGTTCCCTGAGGATGGACTCCAGCATGAATCCGAAAGCTCGGAAGACTAACCTCTGGTCCTGGTGACTGACCCAGATTGGATCCTGAAACATTTTTCAGCTGATAATGCATCAGAGGAGAATAGCCGTATATGTTAACATGAAATCCTAATTCTAACACTGTATTGCGAATTCTGTATAACTCACACACTACAGTCAGGGACACCAGCAGGAAACTCAGTTAAGCTAGCAAGTTTTCCTTGATTCTATAAGCACTTGTCCCTTTCTATATAAAATGCACAACTTTTTTGGACTGGGCATAAGTGGTGGAGCCAATTTTCAAAGGACTCTGTGGGTCACTGCCAAGACTTTGGCGGAATCAAGAAACTCTAGAGCAATGGTGACGGAACCTATGGCACGGGTGCCAGAGGTGGCACTCAGAGCCCTCTCTGTGGGCACGTGCAGTCCTAGGCCTTCAGCTGGGTTTTATAAAACCTTTTCACTTTAGGCCTCCGCCGCCATGTGCAAAAAAAAAAAAAAAAAGGTTCAATCAGTCAATTTCAACTTCTCACAGGAAAAAAAAAGATCTTGCAAAGTTGGAATTGATTGATTGAACTTCTTAGTCCCACCCAGTCTGCTGTTATCACCACAGCCACGCCCACCCAATGGGCCACGCCCACCCAATGGGCCACATCCACCCGGCACTCGACGATGCATAAGTGGGTTTTGGGTTGCAGTTTGGGCACTCAGTCTCTAAAATGTTCGCCATCACTGCTCTAGAGTATTTATAGGAAAATCTCCATATTTCATGTTCCATTTTATGCTATGTGATTTCTAGCAGCTAAAAGAATTGCTAACCTGGTTTGTTTTTTTGAGAGCTAACAAGTATAGAGGATTATGGGAAAGTTTTGAATAAGATATGTGGCAAGTATTGGGAAAACATGACCTTAGCCTGGGAAAGACAAGAGAAAAACTCAACACGGTCCCACTTTGACTCTCTTTGGTATAAGGGAGAGGGGATGAGAAATGTCAGATTTTCAAGTGTCTATTAAGATAGCCTACAGTTTATCAATAGAGTGGAGAGCTACTTATTTCTTGTGCTGCTGTTTCCTGACTTGGCCTACATCCAAGGGCTGACACAGGCTCTGTGGAGTTTGCATGGAATCTGTTTTTACCATTTGCAGGGAAAAAAACTGCCTCACCCTGCTTTTTGCTTATTGGCCCGAGCAGATCTCTCAGAGAGAAAAATGCTTTTTCATAAAATCCATTTCCATTTTTGTCTTGCATATGATCAAACAAATGTACAAAACAGGATGTAAAGATGTGGGTGGGGTGGGAAGAGGAATGCAAACATTTTATTTTCCTTCTTCATGGAGTGTGGGTGATTACGTGGTCATGTGATCAAAATTCAGATTCTTGGCAACTGGTTCATATTTATGACAGTTGCAGGGGTCACATGATCCCCTCTTGTGACCTTCTGACAAGCAAAGTCGATCAGGAAGCCAGATTTACTTAACAACTGTGTTACTAACTTAAACCCTGCAGTGATTCACTTAACAACTGTGGCAAAAAAAATGTCATAAAAATGGGCAAAACTCACTTAACGAATGTTTTACTTAGCAACATAAATTTTTCAGTCAATTGTGGTTGCAACTCGAGGACTATCTGCAGTTCTACCTAAAGGTAATGGAAGGGGGGAATGTAATAATGCTGGCAAGATGGCGAGGTGACAATATATACTATAAAAAGCTCTGGCAATTCTTTTAGGTATTTCTATTTAATTCCCTACAGAAGATAAGTGTTTGTTAATTACGATTAAAATCCAAACTTCCCTGCCAGTGGCTGTCAGATGTGGAACAGCTCTAATGTAATAATGTTTTAAAGAGCTTACAAAGAAAACACAAACAACTGAGATTTCAAACTTAGAAATGAGCCAGCAATCTTCATATTCAACTGAACAAGCAACATGAACTTTGAATCTGTCAGGATAAGTCTCAAAATAACTAACAAATAAAAAAAGCTTTCTCTATTCTGTTATTTTGGATATAGTTCCCAAACCACCAGTAACCACACCTAGTGATGTCTATTTGTTGCTTGTTTATATATTTGAGTCATTTTTGAAACATCTGAATGCTATTAAAAGCCTAAATAACTAAGGCCACTTAGATTCTGCCTATTTTGCAATTTTTGTCAGTTGCACCTCTTCACAACACTTTTAAATGGTGCCTATCTTGCTTCTTTTCACTTTGAAAGATCGGCATTTCATTTTGATCTGCTAATCACAAATGCTAACTCAAAACTGTTTTTCTGCCCCTTCTATAGTGCCACAAGGGACTTAGAAAAATAAATTGCTCCCAATGGATTTGAATATCCTCCCCCATCTAAGTTCTAAAATAAAGACTTATCAAAATTCCACAGAATGGTTTACCATAAAAAGCAAAGCTTGCATGCCTCTGTTGCACAAGAAAAAGAATTAGTACTTTCGGGGGGAAAATCAGAGAGAAATATGAAAGCTATAAATATGAAACTCTGAAAAGTTGCATCAAAGGAAAGAAACAAGAATCTCACAGTGACAACAGTTGACAGACCTTCATGTAGATAACAACAAAACTGACATCTTAGGTCAAGTATTATGAATACTTTATCATAGTGTGCTGAATAAGCCACGAATTAAACAGGCAAACCCAATGAACTAAGCCAAATTGAACAAACCATACTGTGGCTTAGCACAGGGGTCTCCAACCTCTGGGCTGTGACCTATTTGGAACTGGCCGTGTGAGTGGCGGGCTGGCACACATGCACAGCTCTGTGCACGAGCAGCGGGCCAGCACGTGTGCACATGCAGACTAGCCCACCATTCATGAAACTCAAGCTACTCATGCATGTGCACTGGGCTGCTGCTTGCGTGGTCCAATTCCCCTCCCTCCCCCGGCAGTCAGGCCACCAAGCCACAAAGGTTGGGGACCACTAGCTTAGCATAATGGACAGACTCAGTGAATGGATGCCAGGCTCCACTGCTGATATAGAGCTCCTATTCCATAGCCACATAAAGATCCGGTACTTCAGTTGAAGGGCAACTCTTGAAGAATAAGAATTCTGCCTAAGTCTCAGCATGGAACACAAAGGGAGGGCTTCTTCCATTATGAGATAGGTGGTTATAAATATTCAATAAACCAATAAATTACAAACCTTCTGGTATCCCATGAAGAAAAGGTCCATTCTCACCCTTCCCTGACAGTTGGTCCCATTGGTTCTTGCAAATATTTCCCAGCAGCTCCTTCACAGCAAACACAGCCTGACTGGATTTAATAAAACTCAGCTCTCTGGGGAAGTCTGTACATGCAAGGTTTTTTTCCTCAGCTGCTATTTTTAATGCCTGGAATTCCTGGTCAAGAAAAACAAACAAGCAATTGTTTGACTATAAGGTCTATTCAGCAGACACAGCTCTTCTCAAGTCACTAACATTTAAAATCTCAATAAAGATGTGGCAGGAGATAGGGTGGGAGGAAGAAGAAGTATACACAGCTCTACTGCAGTGGTTCTCAACCTGTGGGTCGGGACCCCATTTGGGGTCGATCGACCATTTCACGGGGGTCGCCAAGCAAGGCTGTCCGCCATTTTTTTTGTCCGCCATTTTTTCCCCTTTTCCGGCGGGTGCCTTGGGCTGGGCCAGCTGGTGGTCGGCCTGCTCCGTCTCTGCCGCTTGCCAGCTACACCTCGGCCGGCGCAGGGGGCGGAAACACGCATGCGCGGCGCTCCTGGGTAGGGAAAGTCCTCGACTTACAACCGGTTGGGTAGTCCTCGACTTACGACCGGTTTAGTCCTCGACTTACGACCGGTTTAGTCCTCGACTTATGGTTGGGGTCACGGCATTAAAAAGGTTGAGAACCACTGCTCTACTGGCTGTAACTACTGCCACACTCTGTTCCTAGAACTTCATCTGGAACAGCATCAAATCCAAGAGAGGCTTCTTCTGATACTGTATGGCCCCTTTGCCTCCAAGAGTGAAAGAAACGAGGAAACACTTCCTAGTACAGATCTTGAGGGGACAGAACATGTGATCTTGGATGAATAAGAAGCAGACAAGTGGTGGGACAATAAAAGAAAAACAAACGCCAATGTAGGGGCACACTCATCCACTCATATGGAACCACCCCCTGGTAGATGCAAACTATTAAGCATACCATATTTCCCTGAAAATAATACCTACCCCAAAAATAAGACCTAACTTGATTTTTGGGGGTGGGCCTAATGTAAGCCCTACCCCAAACAGAAGCTCTACTTAAGAGCCTGAGCAGCTGACCGCCTGCCCATTCCGTCACACCACCTGATTGCTAGACACGAAGTGGGGGGAGGCAGGGGGAACTGTCCCACACGCCCCGCAATCACTTACCGTGCGAAGGACCCCCGTAGCCATGACACCCGACACCTGTCGTGCCTCGCAATGGTGGCATCGCAGACCCATCCAGAAGCCGTGTGGCTGCCGCCCACATGGGGCAGCAGACACACTGCTCCTGGACGGGGCTGTTTGTGTCGCCACCGCGAGGCGTGACAGGTATTGAGAAAAAAATAAGACATCCCCCAAAATAAGACCTAATGCCTCTTTTGGAGGCAAAAAAAATTGTAAGATTGGGTCTTATTTTTGGGAAAGCATGGTAGCATCCTTTTTCACTAGCTCTTTATATTAAAGACAAATGCACACAGCTCTTGCTGCCCTATGATTATATTGATGGAGACACTTGGATGCTATTTCACACAATGAGCTTTTTAGGTACCAACCAAACACATTTGTACTGTGCAAATAGATAGGGATATGGAGCTGGCTCTTGAGCAGGAGCTCCAGAGTTACTGCTGACCTTCTCTAGGGAGAGCTACTGGATCCTGGATGTTCCTAGTCTTGCCCAGGTGGAGAAGAGATACAGTGAAGCCTATGCTGTCTCTCTGCCAGCAGCTGAATCACCTACAACAATAATTCTTGGAGCATACCTGCAGGAAAGTGATGGTGTCCATGCTGGAGACTTTCTCCAGGTTCCGCTTGTGTTCCATCAGCAGGGCCCGTCGCTCTTCTTTCTGCCGCAGTTCCTCCCCTGCTCTGCCCAGCATGGCTCTTTCATCTACCTCAATGAAACTAAGCACTTCCTTCTTAAATGTTGCCAGGACCTTGGTGGCCTCAGCAAAGAGACTGCTGACCTTTTCCTTCTCCTTCTGAGCAGTAGCCTTAAAAAAAAAGATGGATTTATTCCAATAAAAATATTTTTGTCATATTATCATTGCCTAAAATGTAAATAAACCAAACACCTTTCCCAAATAAGAACAAATGGATTATCATGGGAAACCTACATTCAAGAAGTAGCCCGAGAAAATATAATATGGAACTCATCAAAAGAAAGAATTTTTTTTTTTACTAACAACTATGGGGAGAGTAGGCAACTAACAAGTTTTACCCTTCCTCCCAAACTCTGCACTCAGGTTTGGTTATTATAAAGAAGTAACTCAGCTTTCTAGTTGCTGAAGGTTCCAGAAGGCCTTCCACTGGTACAGCAATGATCCAGGAGGAGCAGGGCTGAAGATTTGGTGACTGTTTTTTAGAGCTTTCAAGCAGGTTAAAGACAGGAATGGGAACAGAAAGCTTCCTATCCTTATTCAGCTTTCCTGATCAGAGAAAAGTATGGCAAAATTGCTAATTTTTATAGATGTGATTCATTTGGGGGAAGTTTATGTGGGTAGGAACGAGGGCACATTTCCTGAACAGGGAAAAAGGGAGAGGGGAGACAAACAGTTGAAATTCAGCTATTTTGCTGCCAAATATAAGACAAATTATCTTCAGATGTCATTAGCAGCAGATGGAGGATTGTATGTAACCCATGAAGTCACCTTTACTTTTCAGTGATAAACACCAATCTCACCCACTAACTTGGTTCTTAAAAAGATACTCATTGGATGGAGTTTTTTCCCCCTAAAACAGGGGGATTTCATGAGAACATGCTGGAAAAGAAAAACATAAGTTGCTTCTCTCTGAATTTTTTTTAATAAAAGCTGCTCCTTAAGTTTTCTAAAAATTCATTTAGGGCTGTCTCTCTTGGCAAACTGAGTTCAGCTAAGGTCTTTGTGTGTTTCATTTCTTTCCTTGTCCTTCAGACTCACACACTTCTTTTCCATCACCCATTTTAATCATTTTTCCTAATTCAATTTACTGCGCTGTTCTCTTTACAGGCTAACCATATTGCTATAGAAAACTTAAAACTAGCATTAAAGTGGAATGTAAATGCTGAAAAAAGAAGAGAGGGATAAGAGAGCACTCCCCATCTCTTAATTATGACTAAGAAACTGGAAGAAATAAAAAAAACCAACCATGGCTGTTCTAGAAATACTGCAAAAAGTAGCAATTTGGGAATGGAATGTTCTGGAATTATCAGGAACATTCCATTCCCAAATTGAGGGAATTTTCACAAAGTTGTAGAGTTTTGCAATTTCTAAGAAATAGTATCCAAACCTTACTACATTTCATAAAATAAGGAAGCTTTTTCCCTGTCATGAAAGTTATCCATGAGCTTTATCTTTGCCCCACAGTAGTATTACTTTTCTATGGACATAGGGCCCAACTCCAGGGATCAAACATTAAACACTGTCACTATCTGCTATTCAGGGAAAGAAACCTCATGTGCTTCTGGTGCATTTGTAATTTAGTTCTCAGGAAAACATTTGCATAAGAAATGGTGGAGCAGTACAATTGTTATTTATTAATATGCAAATTAATTAATACAGAAAATCATAGAAGAGACATATAATCCCCAAGCGAACACTTCTTAAAGACAGCGTTCCTCAGATTTTCCAGATATGTTGGGACTGTGGTCTCTAGCATCCTGATAGTTGCCCCTTTCCTGAGAAGGATGGCCTATTTTTGTTACCTCTTCACAACAGACAATAAAGGGAAGAAAGTCTGTGGAAAGGAAAGGTTTCAGAGGAGGGTTCAACATTTTGCTTTTTACTGGGGATAAAATAAATATGGTGAAATACTTTGATGAGATCCACCATCCTCTTCATCTGCGCTATTGTGGCTCCCAGTTCATCCAGCTGATTTTCAATATTGTTCAGGAGTTTTGGCCTCTGAGCCTTTCAGACAGGAAAAAAAGGAGAGAGACTCAGAATCTCAACTTTATAGAAATTTACATTTCACAATTATTTTTGCACAATTTGTATAGAAATTGACATTTATAGTTCAATCATCACAACTACACACATATATTTTATAACTGTCCTGTTTTTCTAAAGATTAAAATAAATCCATTTACCTGGAGGTGCAAGATGCAGTCAGAGATCAGGTGTACGATTGCATTTTCCATTGTGTCTCATCTTTTTCTCTTTCCAAAGTCCTTATTATTGCTTATATACACAACCAAGTGCTCTAAAGCTCTCTTTCTCAATCTTACTTATTTTGTTTTTAAGTAATACAAACATAAAACAAACCCTCTGCGTGGTGAGCAACTCAAAATACATGGAGTTGATTTAGAGTTGAAATCATGATTGTCACAAATTACTTGGGCAAAAAGCATCGCTCACCTCCCTACAAGGCCTGTAAACCAGGCTAAATTTCCTCTTTCTTTATCACCCAGTATTTGTTATATTCTGATTGGAATTGAAAGGAACAAGTGCTGCATTTAGACCTCTCCTACTCCATGAGACCATGTGCTAGACCGAGATAAAAACCAGACCTGGACAGAGATAAAGAGCAAACCGAGTGGGCTGCCTTGAAAAGAACAATTGTTGCATTATCGAGAAAGAACCAGATCAGAATGAATCAACACCCTTTTTCTTATTAAAAAACAAGGAAATTAGAATGGTAGGAAGAGAGCTTATCTGCTGCTGCCATAATAACCCACTGATCTCTTAAAACAAAGCCAGGAGAGGAAAAGAAAGAGATTAAATGGTAAAGCACCCCAGGCTGCCCTTTTTTTAAACAGGTTCTGAAAACACAACTGTTTCCCAGATCGGTGACCAATGTACTCCTTAGTGATATATACTAACTATAAAGCCTAGAAAATATTTTGCTGCTATCATTAAAATAATACAGAAAAAAGGTCATGTTTGCTTGATACTGGTCTTGCATGAAGATAAGACTCCCTGGGGATCAAATTCAATTATGCATTTCTTGGAAATAACAAGGACTGCATCTTGCCACTGGATTTTCTGTTCAGTCCTAGGATTTCCTGGTGATTTTCCCATCCAAATCCTAAGTCTGTCCCTTGTTTCACTTTTCATCATCAGCCAGGATTAGCAGGTGCTGCCACCTGTTGTGGGTAACCAAACAGGTAGCAATTCTCTTAGGGAGAATTCTGAATTTTAGGTTGTTTCTGTATGTTTTATATGTCTCTTATACTCACTCATAAACTACCAAATTCTATTTCAGATTTATCTTTAAACTAAGACAACTTATTTAAGCCTTTCCAAATGCAGTCATCTCTGATTTTGAGCCAAAAGCCATCTATTTTTGCCAAACAGGAAGACCTTTGCTTCCTCTGTTCCACCAGGAGCGATAACATTTTATTCCCGCAAGAAAACAATTAATAGATATGTTCCTTTTCATTCATCAGCTTCAAACTGTTTTGGTTTCAGAGCTGGAGGCAATTTATGGCTCGCTGGCTTAGGAAAAAAGAATTGGTGTCTAGGATACAAAGGACTGTTTTATTTTAACTAAGAAAATGGTCCACCTATTCCAGTAATGCCTACCGTGATTAAAAATGGCTTTTCATAGCTTCATGCCAAAGTCTTTCCATGCGTTGCAACTCATGTTTCTATAATTAGAGCTGCTGGATAATCAACCCAAGAACTTCTACATGTCAAAGATATACAATACCACTGAATTATTAGCTTGCTCCTGGTAGGCCTCAGTTAGTGGCTGGAAGAATCCAGCCTCTTTTGGAAAATTTATCTGAACGGAATCAGGGATGCAGAAAATATAAGTAGGCAATTTATCAGACAAATATGAGAATCAGAAACAAGGAAAAATATCTTCTGAGAAGGCAGCATAGCAAGATATTATACAATGTTTGAGAGTTAACCAAGTATAAATTCTGAATTACTGTTCCTCCTTGTTCAGGGACATTCAACTATTTAGTTCCTAGATACCATTAGAGTAATAATCTAGTCATGTTTGTCTCAGTGGTAGCCAAGCAGTCTATACCAGAAGTACTAACCACATCACACTTGAATTCTCTCCCTTTGCCTGTCTTCTTGCAAGTTTCTGTTATCTGAAGTGAAAATGAAGTATAAAATCAAGATTTTAAACATAATTTAAAATTCTCAATCTTTCCAAAAAACTAGAAAAAACCCTGGGCGCCGGAAAATCCTAGTTATCATAGTAGTACATATCATAGCTATATAATTTGTGTCATGGCATTACCCGCTGGGGTCCTTTTTCACCAATACTATGATAACCACAGGCATTTGGTACAGCCTTCAGCAATCTTTTCATCTATAATATAAGCTTATTATAAAAAAAAGCTGATGATTGATTTTCCAAGTATATCAATAGCACTTGGATTTATATATTGCTTTACAGTGCTTTATAGCCCTCTCTAAGTGGTTTACAGAGTCAGCATATTGCCCCCAACAATCTGGGTTCTCAATCTGGTATCATACCCTTCCTATCATGTCCTTACATTTTTGGAGCACAATTCCCAACATTTGAGCTAGTCTGCCGGATGAGCAAATTCATCTGGACATCCAATAAAGTAGAAGGCAATGATATACATTAGAAGCAATGAAACAAATTTTCTTCTCTCTATATCTATGACTGCCTGTTTCTACTATAAAGGTTATAGTGATTTCCATCTCTATGCAGGAATACTTTCACCTTCCAAGGATGGTGGAAGGTGTCAGTGTGTATAATATAACCCCTTGAAATTATATTAATCAGTTTTACAACCCCGCCTTTTGTACAGAAGCTCAGTGTAATGTATATAATGTACTATACACTAGTGGAGGTATCCTTCTCCTCCATTAGGAGGTAAGTTGGGCCAAGAGCATGACTAACCCCAAATCACCCAGTTTCTGTGGCTGAGGATGAACTGGGTCTCCCCACTCCTAATCCAATATTTAACCACTACACCATACTGGTACCTAGGTGTGGCCAATTGAGAAACTCACCAACACTTGATTCCCCGATTCCCTGTTAATGCATTCTTTGTTTTAATGACTTGTGAAAGTACTCCCTAAAAACCTTTCCAAGTTTAGCAATCCTTCCAAAGTAGTCCAGCACGCCCACAGAATGTTTGGAAATGGGATTTCCCAAGTAACACTTTAGAATGATTTAAACTAAAACTGACAGGAGTTTAGTCAGAGCCATCTGGGAAGGGGAGTGTCTGAAAAAAAATAACGCCAGTAGTGCAATCTGAAAGACAAACGGACCAAGGACTGGAACCTGGGAGAAAAGCCAACGGAAATAAAGGACCTGGATTGAGACACTGTGGGAAAGAGCTAAAGGGAAGGAATGAACTCCTGCTGCCATCACACTGAAGTAAAGCTATCAGACTAGGCTGGACCCAATTAGCATCAGATGGAAATAATCACAAGCTATGGCTTCCCTGCTCCTTGTTTTCTTCGGCTTTCTTTCCAAATCCAAACAAAATAGATTACTTTTATGTGTATGGTTTGGCAAGCCAGGCACAAATCACCAGAAGTTCAAATAAACTTCGGTCTTTGCACTAGAAAGACCTTTCTGATAGTTTGAAACACTAATTTCTGGCTTCTCTTGATCCCCAAACAATTCTTTCTAGGGAGGACTGTTGAAAGCTAAGTATTCAACCTCTCTTTTTCCTTCCAAATAACTTCCTGAGTAAAATCACCTTCGTATGCTTTTCCCCAAAACTAGGAGGTGACCTCAAAAAGGCGCTCAGGACTGATCTCTCTATCATGTCATGGCTGGGTACTCACAGGATGCTAAACAAACCTGATTGTGGGTGGCTTAACTTGCATGACCCAGACTATCATCTAAACTTGCATCTAATGATTTATTTTTGAAAATAACCAAATGCCATAGATTACTGCTTAAGAAGATATCAATATGATATTAAAAATTGCAGTTCTGATGGTACTATAGTCCTGACAGTTCTTTTCCCTGATTAACTCTGTAGTCCTTACCTCCTGGGAAGTCCTTCCTTTTCAAATTGTTCCTATCCATATAGTGCTTCATCCAGTTATATACATTCCAAACTTTTTAGACAATACTTTAACACAGTGGTTCTCAACCTTTTTAATGCCGCGACCCCAACTGGTCGTAAGTCGAGGACTTTCCCTGCCCGGGAGCCCCGCGCATGCGTGGTTCCGCCCCCTGCGCCGGCCGAGGCATAGCTGGCAAGCGGCAGAGACGGAGCAGGCCGACCACCAGCTGGCCCAGCCCAAGGGAGGTAAGGCACCCGCCGGAAAAGGGGAAAAAAATGGTGGACAAAAAAAATGGTGGACAAAAAAAATGGCGGACAGCCTTGCTTGGCGACCCCCGTGAAATGGTCGATCGACCCCAAATGGGGTCCCGACCCACAGGTTGAGAACCACTGCTTTAACACTTTTTAGATTTTAACGTTCTTCTTCTCTAGAAGCCATTTTTTACACCTTTATCACCTAACCTTTCTGCATTAGAATAATATTCTTTTACAATATCACCTACCTTCTAATAAAACAGATATATGATTCAATATTAGTCTGTGTGAAATAGATACTATTGCCCTAGTTTAATGCAAACATCCACTAGCATGCCTTTTCTCTAAACTGAAATTCAACATGATCTGTACAGAGTTGCTTGTACAGCTGGGAAAAGGTTTAATGGAATTAGCAGCATAATAAAAATACCACAATGGTTGTGACTGACATCCGTTGGCTAGTTCCTATGTTTAATATTTCTTTTCTATGTCAAGTCAGTTTTGGATTTTTTATTCATATTTTTTCAATGTATATAAATGGATGCATATCTTTACACATCCATTCACAGCCCAATCTTAGAATCTTGTCTATTCAAATTTCTACCTAGATATTTATTCCCTTACAGGTTAGTAAAGTCAGCACTATTTTAAATGGAAAATAATAGCGCAAAATTTCATTTCAGAGGAAAATTGACTACA